TTTATATTTATGTTTAAACTCGTCAATTCTATTACTATTTTTTATGTCCACACTTAAATTATTCCATAGTTTTACCCCACTTATGGAAATACAAAATCTTTTTTTGGTTGTACATATAGCATGAATTTTTAAATTTAACTGACCCCTTAAATTGTATCCCCCTTCCCTTTCATTAAATAGTTTTTGAATTCCACCAGGTAATAAATTGTTCCTAGCTTTATACATAAACACAGCAGTCTTATATCCCACTAAATCAATTTTTTTTTTTTAACAATTTAGACTGTATGAAAGCTCCATTGGTGTGATCCCTGTACCCCATCTTATGCACAATTCTTATTGCTCTTTTGTATAATATATACAATGGTTGAAGTGAGCTTTTGTATGTATATCCCCAGTTTTTACTTTTCATATTGATATTGGAAGGGTTAAAAGTAAGAGGTACTGGTGCTATGGTTACATCAGTAGGGATTATCAGGGGAGGCAGCACTACCCAGAGGATGTATCACAGCTTTATCATCCAGACTAATGCCAGGAAAGGAGGTCTAATCAGATTTTATTTCTGAAGTCTTCACGGGTGTTGAAGTCATCCTGTCCTCCAGATCTCTTTTCCTCTTCTTCTTCACTGATTGACAGATCCACAGGAAGATGAAGAAACCTTGACAAGAAACACATATAAGCTGTTAAACACAAGCTGAACCGACCCATGCAATAAATCTGACAGCATACAGGCTGGTTTCAAAATCCTCCCAGATGAACAGCATTCAAATAAAATAAGCATGCAGCCAATCAAAAATTAAAAACATAAACTGACAGCAGACCTTGTGTGGAGTTGAAGATGCAGAAAAGGTATAGGATAGGGTAACTGATGTATCCTGAGCCCAGGAAGGCCAGACCCCAGGTGGTCCCCATCAGGCAGGTAAGACCCAGCACAGTGAGGCCACTCCTGCAGGATTCCTTGAACCTATCTGAGTCATTCCAAGTCTTTCCCTTAGTTTCTGCTTTAAGTTTTGAGTTGCTGCTAGACACTTTTTTCATCCTAATGATGCTAGAGGCCACTGCCACCAATATGCCAGAGTTGAAAATGAATACAACAGTAAAATACACTAGGTTTAAGGAGTAGAAGAAGGTGTCATCTGTAATCCAGCAGCTGTGGGACAGTTAAAAAACCCAAAAGACTGTCAGAGTATACTTTCATAACATGACACAAAAAACAGATCATCTCCAGACATTTTATATTCAGCACATTCCATTGGCAGTATATGAGGTACATGAGCTACACAAGCTAAAACTAATGCAATTTAATATAATAATTCCTCCCTTCATAAAGGTGATAGTGCTCCGTTTTTGTTCAAACTGATTTAGAGAGGTGCTGATGCAACTACATGATTATTTTGGAAGATGTAGTTTGCAGTACTGTTTTGAATTGTATTGTGATATACTGACAAGTATCTCTATTATTCTGTCCACCCTATTTATATTACTAGGCCACTTAAAAGAAACACCTCTCTAATGCACTATGCCTGTTAGCAACTGTAAACTGCACATATGATTTTTTTAAATGTGTTTGGATTGATATTGAAATGATGGATTATGTCTGTTTTCTTGCTAAAACCAATAAAACTTTACTTACATGGCATTTGTTTGATTAGTATCCGCCATGGTCATCCTTGTAACTCCATAAAACTGTTTAAAATCCTTCAATCCCAAAGACACTGCCACTATTACACCAGGGATCCCTGAACGTCACACACACACACACACACACATACCTGATGGACTTTTCATATATCAAATACACACAATACATTATGTCATAACAGAAAATCTTGTTAAATCGACATTTCTAACAGTCTTAGACTATAGTGACACATTATGCATGCATTAGACTCATTACTCTACAGACTTGACCCTGTCTATAGTTCCTCCTTGAATGCAGGAACAGGAAGTCATCACAGTTTATATTTTATATTGGTTAACTTGATGGACATCACTAATAATTACATCAACACTTCAGATGTATCTTTCGATTTCGAAAACTATCCTTGGAAAACGTCCTGGTTATCTTTGTGAAAAGTTTTTTCTTGCTTCCAGTAACTATCAGACCTGACTGTCCAGGTGGATTACAGTACAGATTACAGTATAGCTAAAGTCTAGTTTGAGTTTGGAAAAACTGCATTTCCTTTTATGGACCTTGGGTGCAAAAAAATCTACAAGAGAAACTTCAAATGGAAACATTTCTCCCTTATAAGATACAGTATTAAAATATCATATTGAAAATACTTCAGGAGGAATGTAAATGTAACAGTTTTAAATAATGAGACCTTATTCTTATATTTCATAGATCATACCTTACTGTGTATTATGTGAATGATACAGTATGTATGATGTATGTTATATTATTGTGACTCTCTTATGTTGTCAGGGCCGCTCAGCAGCTGCTGCCTCTCCTCCACCTTTCTCTCCTCTATTTTCTTGATCTGCAAGATTCTGCACCTCAGCTGTGTTGCAGTCGGTAATTGGCGACGCGTTTGTCGGTGCACACAGCTGGGGTGCATCCCGCTGATTAGTTTTCCTCCTTATTTATACCTTGGGCAGACGCTTGGCCTGGATCATTGCGACATTTAACGGACAATACTTACCCAAAGTAAGATAAATGTTATGTTTGACCCGCATTTTTTTAGACATGTTGAAGATGCTACGCTGACAGTTCCTGTGCATTTTGGCTTGACCTTATCACGCTAATTATGCAGTTAGCAATATGTCCTCTTGTCTTCCACGCTGACAGTCTCTGTGCTGTGGATTACATTGTGTACGTTGGTTCTTTTTGTTCACCTGTCCGTTCTCATCCTTTGCTATCCTAGTTCCTGTCGTTAGTTTGTGTGTTTACCGTCCTGGTCTCCTTAGTCATCACTGCCCTTCCCTGGTTGTATGTATTATGGACCCTGTTATGTTGTCATTTTGTTGTTCTTATCCCATTAAACCACCTTTTTTGTACTAGCACCTGGGTCAGCTATCTTGAGTCCAACCCCTGTTCTCCCTCACCCTCATGGTGAGGGGGACTAAACCATAACATATGTTGCCATTTTGGCTAGGTCTGTCTTGCAAAAGAGATGTATCTCAAGAGAGTTCCTGGTTAAATAAAGGCTAATAGGTCTCAATCACCAGAACTAGAGGGTTTCCTTTTTATGCCACACCAATGATTAACAATTATACAATATATAAATGTAGCCAGGTGGTAAACATATACTAAGGGGAGATAAATAAATAACTCTGTTGTTTTCCACTGATGGTGAAAGGTTCCCTAAATGTTTTTAACATTCCAAATGTCATGTAATGTTTATGGTTTTCATGTTAATGTAACACAGTTCAATTTTGGTGATATGTAAAAGTAACCTACAGTAGGCTATTGGAGTTTAATGCTACCTAGTATCTTGGCCACTAGATGGCAGTATTGACAGGTGTACATTCCGCCAGAACTTGACCAAATGCACTGTGGTCCCTTCTTTCTTTTACACTGGACTTAGCTTGAGAGTGGAGCACCGTGAGTTGATCAACCTATATGCCGATGGTGCTGGTGGTGGTGTGTCCAACATAGAGCTGGTGAGCTTTTGGCGGGATCCCACTGCCATATTTTGTTACCCTTTTTTTTTGTTGTTACTCCGTATTTTGTTTTTCATGTTCAAATAAAACGTGACCTGCTGAATTTTGAAGCTGCAAGGACCCCATTAATTGTGTCCCGTGCGGCAACCATTTTACCCGAATTACATAAGGAAAAACATCAAAGACAAAGCCAAGACCCATACTGTCAACTTCTAGCTAATGTCTGGATAAGTAGCTTTCTGTGGAACAGAAGTTTACTCATAAAAAATCCTTTAGTGTCTCATAAAAAACAGAAACATGTTTCTAGTGTAATCATGTTAGTCAACACACACTGAATGCCACATCAGCGTACTGTAGGTGCTTGAAACACTCACCCCATCCGGCAAGAGACAGCTTAGCCAGGTAGTGTTTGTAGTAGGTGTTGAACACCTTTATCAGCAGTAGGTAGAGGTGAAGTCCCTCAATTGCCATCCAGGTAAAACAGCAGAGCAAGGAGTAATGCATAAGTGCTGCAACAAGC